TGCATGTGCACGTGGATGTGTGCTGCGTGTGCGCTGTGCGTGCATGTGTGTGTATGCATGTGCACGTGGATGTGTGCTGCACGTGCACATATCATATGCGTGTATGCACATGTGTGTGCCTGCACACTGTCCTGTTGGCATCAGAGGCCCTCCTGGACTGTGCAGGGTCACTGGAGAGGTGGAGCTTGTCCCCACCCTGCACCTGGTCGTCCTTCCACAGCGAGGTGGGGCTGGGGCAGAGGCAGTCGCACGTCCCCAGGGAGGGCCCAGGTATAGGTTGGCTGTACCCGTGTCCTGGGGGTCTGTGCTGCCAGTACAGCCTCGCACGGGCTTCTCAGCCACTTCACGGTGGGAGCTGATGGGAGGGTCTCCAGTCCCGACGCAGGCGGTGGAGGGGTCTGGCTCTCCTGCCTGAGGCAAGGGTGGAGCTAGATATCGGCATGGCGAGGGCGGCATGGCCCGGGGGCTGCAGGCCCGACTGGAAGAGAGCGCTGACCTTATTCGTTCCCCTACCTCACCTGTCCCGGTGACCGCCCGGTGTGGCTGAAGCAGGGTGAGAACAGGGACGGGAGAGGAGTGGCAGGCTCGGGAGGTTTTGAGATGGCCCACTGCAGCCTGGTCCTGGAGGGCTCCTGTCCCGCCTGCGGTCAGGTCTCCCGCGCAGCCTTCTCGGAGCCGGACCTCACGGTGGTCAGAGGAGGGGCTGTGGCCTCCCCGGTGCCCCGTACCACTCAGGACGCACGGTTGGGGACCAGGAGAGAGGAGGAGGCTGGTCGCCTTTCCCCAGATTTGTGCCCTGCATTGTCCAGGCTGGAGTGGACGCGGCCCTTTCTGGAGTGTCCCTTCTGTGTGCTCTGACACTGGGGATTCTTTGATCGCCTCGGGAAGGGGCTGCTCTGTCCCTCGTTGTCCCTCGTTGTGCAAGGAAGGAGTTGAGTGTTCTGTGAAAAAGGTGCTAGTTCGGGGCTTGAAAAGCAGACGTGCTGAGGGGCACCGAGCCCTGTGTCGTTAAAATGATTTTTTTTTTTAAACAGGAGTGTGGTCTGACTGACCACACGATTGTGGTATCTGTCATCACGCGGTTTTGTCTTCCACATGTGGCCAGTTACATAGCAGATCTTCCAAAATTACAAAATCGAGCCATTTCTGTGCTCCTGTGTGAGCTGTCTCTGGGGCTGTGTTTTCCCAGAACCGCTGACTAGTCCCACTTGCTCGCTTTGTCTGCGGTGTTTCTCTCGTCAGTGGTGACAGCAGGGTTGCTGACCCCCAGTGCGGTGGCTGGGACAGGAGAGAACCCTCACGGTGCTCACGGTCGCCCGCAGGAGCGTGTGTGGAGGTCTCCGGCCCAGGCGTGTCCCGGTGGGCTCCCGGCTTCCTTCCCAGACAATCCCTGGAGCAGGCGAATAGAATTGTCTTAAAATTAAACGCTTTTTGTCTTGTTTGGAAACAGGTCAGTGATGCTGGACAGAGCCGAGAACCTTCTGCACGACCACTACGGCGGGAAGGAGTACTGGGACGTGAGTGCCGCCCGCACCTGCCGTGCTGTTGACTGGCCTGTGTGCGTGCTGGGCGCGTGCGCCTCCCTGTCGCCTTGACGCGGCAGGAGCCTGAGGAAGTGGGTTCCACGCCTGCCCTGCTCCGGAGGTCTGCCCTGTGTAGACGTAGGCGTAGAGCTCCCGCGGGGAGCCAGGTAGAGGTTAGGCGCCTGTCCGGAGGACCCCGGAGAGACCCCCGCTCCCTGACCCGGGTGCCCCCTGAGCAGGTCGTCTCCAAAGCAGAGAGGTGCCTCGTCACGGCCACCCTCGTGGCTCTCCGCCTCTCGTCGGCACCGTGGTCCCCTGTTAGCTGCGAGGCTGCCAACTCCCTCCGGCCAGCCACGTTCTCTTGACCCGAGCCCCACCCCCCCAGGCAGGGCACCTGTCCGAGCATCTCACCCTGTGCCCGTGGTGGTGGTCCCGGTCGCTCGCGGTCCGGCCTTTTGCCGGTTGGTGACCCGTCACCGCCAGACCCTCTTAGGATCCCGTCCCCGGTTGACCTCCGGGAGTGTCGGCTCGGCGTCCCCAGCATCCGGCGCCCCCCTCGGACTCTCAGGCCGGCCTCGGGATGCAGGTGGGGCTTGGGGCGCCTGCCGGGGGGCCGATGGGGTGGGGCACTCAGCGGGGCGCTGCTCTCTGCACCCGCAGACCCGGCGGAGCATGGTGTTCGCCAAGCACCTGCGGGCCGTGGGGGACGAGTTCAGGAGCAAGTACCTGAACTCCACGGACGAAGCCGACAGGATCCCCTTCGAGGAGGACTGGACCAAGATGAAGGTAGCGCCCCCACGCTTTCTCGCTCGGGGATGTGCGTCAGGAGGGTCCCCTTGTCCCAGCGCCGGCCCAGGGCCCGGTTCCGTTTCTGCCGGAGTTCCTCGAGTTCCGGGAGTAAAACCGGGCGGCGAACACGGACGGGGACGGTCAGCGTTTCCCTCCTGACGTGAGGACAACAGAGAAAGAAAAGGCGAGATTTTTCTGAGAGCGGCCAAACCAGACTCACCAAAAGGGTCACCCTTGTTTTAGAAAGTTTTTTCTGAGGGTGTGGTTTTCATGTAACTCGTTTTCAACAAATGACACGTGGCTGTCTCAAGCGGGCGTCGTTGCTGAGCATTTCCCGGGAGCGCGTTCGAGTGGCGCTGTCCACGGGGCCGGCCGCGCGTGGAGCGGCACCGTTCCGGCAGCGATCCCTCGGTCGTTACGTGATGTTTACTGGAAAAGCACCGTAGCGAATAGACCCTTTTCCCTAGTTTTGTACTTTTTTCCAGGGTTTCCTTTACCTTTTTTGTTTCACTCAGTTAAAGGGTGTGTGGTAATTAGTCACTTCGCGGTCTTGGAGAGACATCTGGCCTGACGCCCGCGGAGCGTGGTGCTGCCACATGGACAACGTGTCCCCTCCGTGTCCCGCGTGCCAGCCGCACGCAGGTCCCTCAGCGGTCCCCGTCCTTTGCCAGGTCAAGCTGGGGTCCTCGCTGGGGGGTCCGTACCTCGCGGTTCACCTGAGGAGGAAAGATTTCATCTGGGGCCACAGGGAGGACGTGCCCAGTCTGGACGGGGCCGTGAAGAAGATCCGCAGCCTCATGAAGACCCACCAGCTGGACAAGGTGTTCGTGGCCACGGACGCCGTCAGGAAGGGTACGTGGCTCCGGCTCCGTCCGCGTCCGCTGCCCCCGGTTAGGCCGCGGCAGCCCCGGGCCCGCGCGTGAGCCTCGGCCCGAGCCGG